CCCCCGCCGAAAACGATGCATCGAGGTTTCACTGTAATACCAAAACAGTTGATCTGCTTCATAGGCCTGAAGGCCTTGTATCTTATGGCTATTGGCCCATTCTTATATAACCTAACAAGCAAACATGTTTAAACTGTAAACACAATTGCGATTCAGCACTGTGTAGTCTGGTATACACTGACTAACACTGCAGAGGAGCTTACTGCCTTCATCATCAGGGTGATAAGACATGTGCAGAAAGGCGGTAGATATAGGAGTAAGATGGACACGGAAGAGCCCTGATTGAACCAATGGGAGAGGAGAGAACTGGAGTGAGGGCAGACACAGTAGGAGAACCAATGGGAGAGGGGGAACCACAGAAAGACCACATGGAAGACAGAATCAGCAAATTTTCTACCACTGGAGCTCTACCTACTGGTCCCTTGAGGTCCTTAGAGAGATTCCAAATATATTTAATAAATTATCACACCAAGTGCCAGCCAACAGAAAGCATGCCTGAAATGTTGGTCAGTATCTACCAGACAGCAATCTTCACATATACTTTAATTTCATTTTTAGTTTTAAGTAGTTCAAAGAATAAGAGCCCTATTTAATCACTTATTTGTTTGTTTTTACATTTACTCATCTGCTTTTTATTCACAGTACTAAAGTATCCAAAATTATAGCTCAATTTCTCACACCTATTTATAAAACTTCTGGTCCCTTGAGGTCCTTAGAGAGATTCCAAATATATTTAATAAATTATCACACCAAGTGCCAACCAACAGAAAGCATGCAAATACTTCAACTGAACTTCATTGTAGGATTTCTGGTTCTCATGGCAATGGGTACGAAGATGGCAATTTTCTGGGTTGTAGCGCTGTGTAGTCTGGTACAAGTTGACCAATGTTTCAGAGGTCCTTTCTGCCTCCATCATCAGGGTAATGAGTGACAGAGGCAGCAAGGACCTCTGATATGTCGGTAAACTTACACTCAGAAAATAACCGCCTTTACACTTCATTGTCTAAATATCATGCAAAATAATATTTTCATATAAAAGAGAAGTAAATTCCACAAATTAAAGGTTCCATATTGTCAATGGAATTTGTTGGTAAACCTCACATAAAACTAAAGGACTGAATTCAGTTTTAAGAGTTTTGTAAGTTAGTAAACTTGCATTTATAATGTGATATGTACAAATTCAATGATACCTGATAATGGATGAATTAGCTTAATTATAAATGCAGTAGAAACATAAAAGCTGTGATACAGCAGATGGTCACCATTACACTAAAAAATTCTAACAAAACGAATTCAATATTACAAAATTCCCAATTGTTCAAATATGTTGGCATAGTAAAAGGGAGTTCCACATCTGAAAGCTTAAAATAATAAAAAATACCAATACCCATTAAAATGTCATATTTGCAAATGCAATATGTTTCATGGAGTAAAAAATGGTTAATAGCTGTTTGTGTCCAAAAATCTCAACACGGTGAGAAGCACGATTGAAGTATGCTGATACGGTGCACATCACACAAATGGCTACTCCTTATCACAGTTTCATAATGATGAGTTTTGAGAATTATCAAATGTACTACTGAATGACTTGTAACTGCAGTTTTCTTGTTGTGAATCTGCTTTATTCTGACGTTCAGCGCCAATTTGATGAACAGTAAGCTGTTTGCTTTCTCCTTTCTCCCTTGAAAGTTTTCCTTCTTCGCTATTTTTCAACCCATAGAAGAAATATATTAGGAAACCTGCAAATGGAAAAGATATTTATATTATTAACAGTACAGCAAATATCAACTTGTTTAACACTGTCTTAGCAGTGTGCTACTGTAACACACGGACAGCTGGACTGCTCAAAAGCCGTGATGCACAGCTGACAGAGGTTATGTTAACATTTCTCTCCTTAATTTTAGACAAATACATATTAGGTAATTAAGAGCATTGTTTTCCCCCAATATTTTGTATTTATCCACAATACAAGTTTTATTTCTGACTCGTTGAGTTTCCTTGTTCCATTCATGCCTATGACATATTCCCAAACAGTAAAGAGAATACTATAAATTATCTTGGCACAGCACACTGGTTGAAGTACGGACACATTCTTTTAAATAGAAACAAAATCATAAAATTGTTGGACATGGCTTCAAACAATTCCCACCTTTCTTTCTACAACATGCATCGTCATGACAAGCATATACGAGCATGTGTACAACAAACATACATACATCTTTATTACATTCCATGGATCCATAAGTTAGTCAGATGACAACAGGATGTAGAATAAGTCATAATAATACAATACATGTTATACAAATACAAGTCATTATATAAATGTCACAAAAATACAAACAAAGGGTTCACATGAAGTAGAGATAAGTTACAAATAAATCCACCCATTATATACAATAGATAAATTACGACTTACTTGTAAGCATTAGAAATTCATCGACAGAGTAAAAGGAGTGTGTAATTAAGTATCTTTTTAATGCTACCTTAAATTGCTCCTTCTTATTTACAAGACTTGTGAGATTTGATGGTAGACTGTTGAAAATGTTGATCCCTGCATAATATGCACTCTTCTGAAAACATGAGAGGTTGGCAACTGGTCTATGAAGCTGATTTTTATTCCTTGTGTTGACGGAGTGTATAGCAGAATTAGTTCGAAAGAGTTCTTGGTTATTTACAATAAAGTTCATTAATGAGAATATGTATTCAAACAAACGTTAAGTGACATTCAAAGCCTTGTTTAACACCACAATGAATTCTACTTCATTCAAAAATCTTTCTTTTCCAGTATTACAGGCATCAGGTCGTTCTACACTTTTATGTGATGCTATAAGTAACTGTCTGGGAACACTACGTTATTTAGGACCTTTCAACTAATTTGCTGGTGTTAACAAAAACACCTCTCATTAATACATCAGTTCAGTCCATTTTATGATATACAAGCAGAAAAATATATTCAATCATTTGATTCATCACATAAAAATAAGTTAAAGCTGTTCTGTGACGTCTTTATTACCTCCTTGTAATTGATATGACTGTCCTCATGCCACTTAATATTTTGTTTTCTCAGAGCCAAAGTCTGCACTTCATAAATCATTATCTTAATATTTGGAAAACTTATTGTGTAACTGGAGATAAGTATTTCCTCAACCCACTGAAAAAACTATCAGAGTTAATTCCATTACGTCAATCCCCACTTCTACCTAGTTCTGACAGCCAGGTGTGCTCCAACATTTTTTTTTGTAGTGTTCTGTCTGACGACAGGTCCATATGAACAGGATCCTTCCATCCTTTTCTCGGATTGGGACCTGTTCATATACGTTCTTGGCAGATGATCCAGAAGTGGTTTGCCATTGCCTTCTTCTGTGTGTGAATGGAGTAATTGTTGGGATGCCACGGAGGAAAACTCCGTGTTGCCTAGACCACGGCCTTGCCCAACACAAGTTATAAATTCGGGCACCGCCGGGAATCGAACCCGAGACCCCAGGATTACAAGGCCAGCGTTCTAACCGCTAGACCACTAAACACTGCGCTGCTGCTGACACATAAATTTTATCCACTAAATTACTAATAACATGCATTTGCAGAAATCTCATTAAGTTTGTAAGGAGCTAATTTATGTCATTACCTACATTTTTTTAAGAAACTAATCTCACTCAAAGGATCCTTAATAGCTCAGTCAGTATAGGGACTAGCTACAGGCTAGACGGTCAGGGTTCAAACCCCGATGGGAGCAGAGGATTTTTCCTCCATCTTCCGCATCCAAACCAGCTCTGGGGCCCACCCAGCCTCCTACCCAATGGGTACCAGGGTCCTTTACCAGGGGTAAAGCACGACCAGGGCATGATGCTGACCACTCACCCCCATCTAGTGCCGAGGTCAAGAATGAGCAGGAGCTATGCCTCTACTTCCCCCAAGCGACCTACATAGCAAGTAGTGGGACTGCTTTAATAATCTCACTCGGAGCAGGTCTCAAGTACAGTTAGTATGGAACAGTACAAGATGACCACAATGTGATGATAACATATACATAAGAAATGCTCTTTTTTTTATTTGTATTACATACAAAAACTGAGACACAATACAATTTGTATGGTGGAAAACTGAGTGATAAGGCATTAAATATGTTGCATCACAAAGACCAATCCATCTTTCTCACAAAGATAAACTTGTTTTAAGGTGACCTCATTAAGTAGAAGTGCTTGTTAAGATAAAAAGTAAGAAACTGATAAATATAACAACACAATGATCCCCAAATTAGGTTACTGTAAACATTTTTAACGAACTGTCCTAATAAGGTCATTACACTTGAATGATACATATCATGCTCCTCTTGATAAAGAGAGCCTGACAACTCAAATGGGACTTATTCATAGTGGACTGGCAAACAGATTGTCCGTGAATGAGGAAGAATGGAAGAAGCTTTTGAAGAAGACCAGGGCACACACAGGGCTGTAGCGCCAATGATGATGACAACTTAAATTAAAGTATTTAAAAGGATTATCTGTGTACTGGGTTTACGATTACACAGAGGTCTGCAGGTCAGTTAATGTGTCTAACCTGCCTTGTTTAACATTTCTGTATTCCTGTATAAGATTAATGCTGCCTATACCACCTACACCTGATAGCTTCAGAAAGTTCTGGGACAGAAGCAAAATTTCAATTTTTTTTTGTACTGTCGGGTAGCAGCCGGCCCCTGGTGACACTATGAACAAGATCCCTCTGACAGGGACCTGTTCATATGTTTCCTAGGCAGATGATCCAGAAGTGGTTTGCCGTTGCCTTCTTCTGTGTGTGAATGGAGTAATTGTTGGGATGCCACGGAGAAACCGGGGAAACCCCGGAGGAAACCTCCGTGATACCTGGACCACGCCCTTGCCCAACACAAGTTATATGACGTTACTACATATACTACGCCTATAAAAAACAGAAAATTATGGAACGCTGGCTTATTCACAATATCAAAAACCTACAGAAAACGCTGCAAATGAAATGTATGTGCATCAGAATAAACCTGTAAGCAAATGCTAACTCCTAAATCATCAAGGCTTTAGCTTCTCCTAGCATACCGATATTTATCATTTTCCTGGGATGTGAACGGTCATTCTCAATGGATTTTCAAGAGCAAGGCGTCACAGTCAGAGCAAGTTGTACTGTGACTGCCTGGACGACTGAAACATTCCGTCAGTACAAATTGGTGCTCACTCATTGAGATCTTGCAGCATCCAATCCAATCACCGTCTATTCACCCTCTTGACTTCATAGAGTCAAAGACGCTCATGTCATGACATTTTGAAGCAAGCACTGCAGGAAGCATAACTCTAAACAGCATCAGTAAAGATATATTGTACTGGATTAGGTGCACTGTAAAACTGAGAGACTTTTAAAAATAAAAAGATTCAAACCATTCTTATTTTCTGTATACACATCAAATAATAAACTACCCTTAATTTTTTATTCACCCCTGTGTGTTTTAAGAAGACCGAACAAAATTCTAGAAGTGACAATAAAATTTTGTTGAATAATTCTGATGCAGGATACCTGTATGCAAATTTTGGCCTCAAATTCAGGCATATTTTGTTCAAAATGAAACTTACCTATCGCCAGCCAAACACCAAATCGTATCCAGGTGTATACATCCAGTACCAACATAAGGTATACATTGATGAATATGCTAAGCGCAGGCACAATGGGCACGAGAGGAACCTGCAACAATAACACAAACACGTCCTTGTACTACGGAACTCGTTGCACATCACGTCTGACGAAAATAAATTGTTCATGCCATTCTTAAAGTAATCCCTAGCGTCTTCTTTCTTCTGGAACTTATTCACCTTATACATGACATATTTACATAAGGTGCCGAGGTCAAGAAAGAGTAGAAGCTATACCTCTGCTCCCCCACAAATGCCTGCATAGGCATGTAGCGGGACGCTTTACTTTACTTACATAATTAACCTCGTGGATTTCAATTTTTGTGGGTATGTCATTCTGTGACCAACGCAGCAGAATGGTGCATCCTCAAGTCTTATGTGGGGCCTTACATTGCTACGTTTCAGGAAATTAATGCCTCATTTTAAACTAATATCTTTCCCTGTACAGACATGTACACACACAGACTGGTTAGGCAAGTTAACTTACTTGTTTATTCCAAAATCTAAAAATTGCCTCACCTTAAATGAAAGTTTAACACTGGAACTGGGCTGCCTGCCAATAATCAACAAAATGACAAGCATCAGGAATAGAAAGACAGTAGCCAATAGAACTGGCCATAAGTCAAGATTCTTTAGACCACTTCCTGCAAAGATGATGACTGAACAGAAGCCGACAGTGATAATACCTGAAAAGGAAAACAGTAGGAATATGAGAATTTCATAGCACGTCTTTATGAAAATATTGGCATTCCCCTGTTTCTGTAAGTATTTATAAAAAAATTCATATCTGTAAAAAAATTTCACATAGTATCTTGTAGAAAATAACATCAGAAGAAGATTGGTTTTCTATATAATTTTCAGTGCAAGACTTTCATCAATAAATCAACTGATTCTTAGGTTATTTAATGACTCTATTTGAATTACAGATGTACTGTTGAAACAAGATACAAAGATACACATCAATGACATTCAGGAAATAATTTATTAGGAAGAAAAGTTGATAAATTTCAGTTAATACAGCTGATATTCGAACAATGAACTCCCCAAATACATGTTCAATGATCTAATTTGCTCAATATCACTTGACATAAAACAGGAAATAATTTGTGTTTAGCCACCTTCAGAAGTCTTTACTTAAATACTCTTATCAAGTGTAGGAGCCTTCTATGAATGGTATGACCACATTCAACTTCTATCTTCTTCTTCTTCTATGGCTCTCCGGTCCGTATTCGGTCCATGGCCTCCTCAATTCTCCTCTTCCATTCGGTCCTCTGTTAGGTCCGTCTGTCCGAGGCTTTGATCGAGGTTTCGAAACATCTTCCTTTTTACGGTGCGAGGTTGTTAGCCTTGCGACCAACCCCCAACCTGGAGGACCAGGGTTCCTGTCTTAGTCTGACCTCTCCCCCTCGACCAATCTGGCTAGGGAGGCTATAAGAGCTAATATTCTAAATACAAACCCATGCACACATGATATGACACATAATTTTAAAACCGATCATAGTGGTCTTCTGTGTCACACGTTTGTTAAAGAAATAACACAGCCATGTGAGCTTAAAGGGGCTAGAGCTGAGATACATTTCCTCTTGCTGAAGACATTTCCTCAAATATCCTTTAAATTTTAAAAAGTTTAAACTATCCACACCTAATAATAAGCTTACACAAGAGACCGGTATGCTTATAAATCCTGGTTTATGTTGCAACACATTAATGCAACAAAATATAAAAAATGGGCAGTTTAACAGTCAGATGCATAAAAATAAAAAATTAGAAAAATTAAATCTACTTAGGTATAAGCTGTCCTTTTCAATATACTGCAAATCTAATGTGAATACAACACCAAAAGGATTAAATACTTAAATCAATAAGTAATGAAATATAACTCACTGAACAAGACAATTGACCATTTTGTTATGGATGATGACAGCAAGCTGGGATATTTAATCATGGAGAGGTTAAATAACAGTTTCATGGAACGAAGCACTAAACTGACGATGCCAGCATCACCAAACTGGATCTCCTGCTCATGTGAGGAGTAGGCATATGAAGACTGCGGTGGATCTTCATACCTGAAACATAAATGGATTAATATCCTTGTATCCGAGTCATCACAGCACCCGCATTTCTCGAGAATCATAAGAAAAGTGCAAGACACAAAATTAAAAGTATGATAATTTATAAATGACTGCATGGAAATTTCACAGCTGAAGTTTATATTTAATTAGCATCCATTAGCACTTAAAAAAATATTTAAGTGTAGTTTCATCTGAATGCAACATAAACATAAGATTATAAAATATGATACACTTTAAATAATAAAGTCTTAGCTGTATGAAGTGGCAGAAGTTCTGGAAAATAACGCCTATTTTCACACAAATACTTAAGTCTTTACTGTGAGGCGAACACGAACTGTGTATTGATAGAATGCAGTGATCACACAAACCCAAATTTTTTTCCATAAGGTTAAAAAAGTATTGCAGATATGTTTATGATCTATCATCACACCAAATTTCAAATCTCTACCTCCAATGGTTCATTAGTTATTGCTATCAGAAACAGAGCACAAAGATTATGCAATATTGCAATCATCTAGATTCTACAACTACTCCATTCTCATCTTCATCGTCATTGCGGTGCAATGTCAACTCGCCACCACTCGGTGCACCCTGTGCAACGCCACTCGGCGGAAAAGTAGTTCACTACATCGCAGGACTTCACGGCCAATGACGTAAGTCAAGAGCCACTGTATTAAAAAAAATACGACATATTTCAGGCACCTCTATCACTCTCACCTCAGAAGTTTTCATGGACAGAATATTGGTATTATGGACATTAGAAAATGTAAATGAACAAGGTGGGGAGACCTCCAGAGTCAAGACAAATTCCACAAATTCAGAAAAGTGGTACAAGAGTTTGGGTGTGGGTTAAACAAATAGTTACCTTAGAACCAGAACACAGATGGCAACTATGGTATACGCTAAGAGCGTTCCAATAGACATCATGTCAATAAGCTGTTGCAGATCAAATATTGTAGCCATAATCCCTGCAATGACAACACATGACAAATACATATATTCATTTTATTTCTTAAAATATGCCTTATATTGTTTGCGTCATACATATTCATGGTAACATAAACACAACTGTCAAAGGCCAAACAAATGAAATACACCTTAGTTTTCTAACAGATTAACAAGAGAATATATTCACTGACATTACTGAACACCAACGTTATTCAGAATGCACAGCCAACACTCTGATGTATCTTGTTTACGGCATTGAAAGGGTTAATAAAATCTACATTATTTAAAGTGTACTTTAACTTTTAGGGTAGTTTGTTATTTAATATGGCTGTATTGACTGCTGAAATCATAATATATCAGTGGTTCTTGAAAAATTGAAGCTTCATTCTCAAAGAATGTTTAATTTCACTGTATAATACGCCATCAAGAAAGTTCATGAGAATAAGAGAAGTCTGGAATGTCTAAATAAATATACCACTGGCATTAATTTCTTCTTCTCCTGTTACATGGATTAGGCATTCAAGACTTCTTCCATAATCAGGTAAAATAATTTCTAAATGGCTCCTCCAATCTTCTTCTGGGTCTAACAAGTTCCCCCTTTCCTCTCGGTTTATAGAGTAGGCTGCATTTTTGAAGTCTTATAATGGTCATTCTCATTATTCTACCAACTTTTCATTTCACATTAATTTATTTCAAGAAAATTTAAGTAGCATAAATAATAATGCACAAATTACTTCACGAGCCAGCAAAGAAATGAGTCTAGAAAGAGACGAAATATAAAAAACAAAAACACCTTAGTCTGAGAATAATTAATAATAATAATTCAGAATATGTGTATGAAAAATTAATTGTATGAAAGCTTTACCAGCCAGTATTCCTGAGAGCACAGTGGCCAATACAGGTGTCTGTGTTCGCGCATTAATATTGGCTAAGAATCGGAACAGCAAACCATCATTAGCCATGGCGTACAGAATTCGAGGTAGAGGAAACATGGCTCCCAACAAGCTACATCAAAAGAAAAATAAAACACTGATAATAAAAATGATCCACTTTGAAGCCTTATAAAACAGAACACAAATTACATACAAGTATTTAAAATATTTAGAAAAATAATTAATAAATTTGTATATACAGTCTGCATACTACATTCTTTCGAATATGAGATAATGTTTCAAGATGAAATTTGTTTTTCCAACATTTTATCCCGTAACAATTAACATTTTAGATTAAATGAGTAATTTTCAACCACAAGTTAGCAAAAGAGATTGTCTCGGAAAAATTAATCGTACATGCAGTCAGTTCACAGAAGTCTGTTTTCAAAAATACCTGTTACTTGGCAGCAAACCTGGAAATATATTTTCATTT